TGTATTGTCTAAGAAAACAGTTTTTCTCCAAATCACACGGACAGATTTCTATCGTTTCCGTTGATTTCATCGTTGGTTCATCAGAGCCCGACACCGCTGAGGGCTGGATACACAGAGATGGGCGCCCCGAGGGCTGGTGTGGTGTTCAGTCTGTCCTGGGTGTCTGCCCCAGGACGCTAATGCCCAGAGATGCCCTGCCCCTACCCAGGTTGGGCAGTGTTAATTACCACCTCGGGCATACCAGTTTCTAGCCTGCCCACTACCGTCACCCACCTCCCTGCCCACCCACCACCGTCACCCACCTCCCTGCCCCACCACCATCACCCACCTCCCTGCCCACCCACCACCGTCACCCACCTCCCTGCCCACCCACCATCACCCACCTCCCTGCCCACCCACCACCATCACCCACCTCCCTGCCCACCACCATCACCCACCTCCCTGCCCCACCACCATCACACACCTCCCTGCCCACCCACCACCATCACCCACCTCCCTGCCCACCACCATCACCCACCTCCCTGCCCCACCACCATCACACACCTCCCTGCCCACCACCATCACCCACCTCCCTGCCCCACCACCATCACCCACCTCCCTGCCCACCCACCACCATCACCCACCTCCCTGTCCCACCACCATCACCCACCTCCCTGCCCACCCACCACCATCACCCACCTCCCTGCCCACCACCATCACCCACCTCCCTGCCCCACCACCATCACCCACCTCCCTGCCCACCCACCACCATCACCCACCTCCCTGCCCACCCACCACCATCACCCACCTCCCTGCCCCACCACCATCACTTTCACTACCTGAGAGAGAAACGGGACTGTTCGTAAAATTCACAAGAGACTGCACGGAGGAAGAGGGGCGGGAAGGCTTGTTTTATCATTCACCCTGAGTGTGTTTGTGCGCCTTAAGGTCACACTTCTCCTTCACCTGTTTGCCTGCTTGGACAAATATGTTATCATCATGTTTGTCTCTTGATCCATGAGTTGTGTTCTTCCTATACATCGGTTTAACAATGTTCTTATTTCCTTTTTTTCATCCACTGACTCTCCACCCATCCACCGGCCCTCCACCCATCCACCGGCCCTCCACCCATCCACCGACCCTCCACCCATCCACTGACCCTCCACCCATCCACCGACCCACCACACATCCACCGACCCTCCACCCATCCACCGGCCCTCCACCCATCCACCGACCCACCACCCATCCACCGACCCTCCACCCATCCACATAACTGACCCTACACAGCTCATAGAGAGCGAGACCAAACTTCTAGATCATGATAAACTCTCGCTGCTCCTTGGCGAGGCTGATCCACCATCGGGATCTTGGTGGATCACGGTGTTACAATTGATCGAGTGGTCAGTGTAGCGAGAGTGCAGTCACTTGCGTAATGAGGTCACCTCTGTAATGCGGCCAGTGAATTTACTGTCTAGATTATATCTGATCCTGATAGAAAGCTAATGATTAATTTTGCTCACTGGCGTGGGACATAGGAGGCGTGAACCTCGTGAAAGTCTTAGATAGCGTGTGGAGAAAGCCTACAGTGGCAAGAGGTGAATAAGGGGCAGACACAGACACGTGCGCAGGCGTTGGCGCATGTATAGCTCAGCGACGCATATATGGGGACAGGGGGCTGACGCATGTATGTATATGAACAAGCTTCTCCCCCTACCCCCCTGCCTCCCCCCACACACACACACATTCGCGAGTGTATGGAACAAAATACTTGGTTGACTAAGACGATCGTACTGAGGTCGCAAGCCTCGCTCTTGCCACATCATCAACTTTATAATGCGCAGAAACATACTTCCGGGCTATTCATGCCCGTGCCACCTTTCGGGTAGCTTAATCTTGATCAATCAATCACTACCGACCACCACACACCAACCAACTATCCACACAAAACACACCACAGCGAGGTTCCGCCTCTCAACCGTCAATCAACTGGTGTACAGGTTCCTGAGCCTACTGGGCTCTATCATATCTACATTTGAAAATGTGTATGGATTCAGCCTCCACCACATCACTTCCTAGTGCATTCCATTTATTAACTACTCTGACACTGAAAAAGTTCTTTCTAACGTCTCTGTGGTTCATCTGGGTACTAAGTTTCCACCTGTGTCCCCTTGTTCGTGTCCCTCCCGTGCTGAAGAGTTTGTCTTTGTCCTGTCAATTCCCCTGAGAAATATGTAGGTGGTTATCATGTCTAACAGCAATTAACGGAATTATAGAGACGAATATAGAGGCAACACACCAGTAACACACACACGAAGTAACCACAACACTGTAGTAACACACACGAAGTAATTACAACACTCTAACAATGCTAACAATGAGCTTAGAGCAGAAAAAGTAATGTGGTGTTGCGTTTTCTTTGGGTGCGGCCCCAGCGTAGAGTCTACCGCCAGAGATACGGCGAGGGAGACTAGAGAGAGGGGCTAGTGGAAGGGTAGGGGGCACAGAGAGGGGCGGCTAGAGGGACGGGTGGGGTCTGGGAGAGGGGCTAGAGGAAGGGATGAGGGGCTAGGGGGAAGCTGGTGACGGTGAGAGTGGGAGGAGGCGGTAGGACAACCTTTCACTTTCAACAACACGAAAACCAGTTAAGGGAAGGGGTCGACTGGTGGGATAGGGGGATGAGGGAGGGCAGGCTGGGGGGGGGGATAAGTCGATAAGCTAAGGAATGAGGGAGGAGGGGGAGGGCAGGTGGTAGACACAATGATAGGCAGGTAAACAGGTGCTTAAGAATAACAAGAAAGTGAGGGAGGGAAGGAGATTGGTGGGGGGATAGGTAGGGGGGATGGGATGAGTGGGGGAGGTGGAGGGGGGTAAGAAGGGATGGAGGTACAAGTACAAGAAGATAAGGCTGAAACAATGCACCCAAGATTAGATTTAAGTAAACCCCAGGAAACAGTTCTGTTCTTAACACACTCTTTGTATTTTCTGTATATACATACATATATGTATAAATATATATTTATGTATATATAAATTTTTAAGTATATAATATATATAAATATTTAAGTGTATGCATTTCCGCATACACTTAAAGCAGCCCATCTTCAGCGTATGATGGTTCAAGTTTAGGTATTTCCTCTCAATTTTGCTCTTTCTTACGGGCTCACCATAGCCCATGCTACTTTGAACTTTGTTCCAAGTAGCGAATCTTTAACAACAACAACTCTCAATTTTTGTATACTTAGAGCATAGTTATATTTATGAGTTAGACTTTTGTATGTAGCAGACCACACTGTGAACACAGTTATCATAATCTTAGTATATTGTGTTGTTACAAATCAGCTTTTTATCATATATTAATAGTATTATATATTAGAATTTGGTGTATAGTTAGAACAAGTTAGTTATACATTAATATTCATGTACTAGACACAAAATTCAAGATTTCTTAAATTTATATAAAATTTTCATTAATAAACAAATATGTCAACGGAGCAAGGAACATGAATATTCTTGTTGAATATTCATATTCTTTGTTGCATATTCTTGGTCCTCGTTCTCTGTCCTGTTAAAAAAATTATTTTCGATTCCTCGGTAATTTGGCACTGAAAACACAATTGTACCATACTGAAAAAAAGCACAATGAAAGAAATGTGTTGTTTGAATGAGGTTAATATATAATTAAGTGGAGGTTATTATAGGATGAAATGTGGTGGAAATAGTTAAATATTCACAAAACAATTCGATGTAAAAAAATAGATTAGTAAATTAAATGAGTTAAATACTATCTTCTTGTATGAATGAGCAATTGTTGGATGATACAAAGGTTCCAAGATTACTACAATATGTATGAATGTTTCTCACTGATCACTACCGCGGGGGTGTTGAAGTCACCAGCTCACTCACACACACACACACACACACACACACACACCTATTTACCTCACTAGTCAACTCCAACAATAGGTCAACCCACGATGGAAGATTATGCCTGTGCGAAATAAATACTAATAACTAATTTAAGGGTGGCACATCGGACTGCAGCGTCCATGGAGTATCTACATATATACATGTGTGTATATAATGCCAAAGTGCATGATTGGCATTATATACACATGATACATATCAATGCAACATGTCACACAACATGTCAGGAACTGCTAGAGCGCTTTCGTGTTCCACACATCATCCCCAGTGTCACCTTTTGATGTGTTAATAATCTCAGGTGAATACTCTTCAGTTCCTCTATGTTTTCTAGAGTTGTAGGACAGATGCTTATGGCTAGCCTCGCCCAAATATCCAGGGAGTTGTATGGTCTGGCATATGGAACAGACATAGGCTGGTCAGTGTAGACCCGAGATAAATGCATTAAGAAATAGTGTAACCCAAACCTCCACCCGTGTGTGATGTCAAATCTGAAATGAAATCGGGGATGTGGTTTCCATAGAGTGTTAACTTACTCCCGCCGTGTACCCGCGCATGATTATGACTATATATATATAAAAGGGAATGTCTATATAGTCGAGATTGAGGAAAGATTGGGTAGAATAGGGAGATAGGGTGAGCTGGAAGAGGGGGTGGAAATTGGGGGAGATAAAAGGAAGAAAGAGAGAAGAGAGGAGGGAAGGGAAGGAGAGGGAATGTAGAAGGAAAGAAGGGAAGGAAGAAAGGGTGTAATAGGGGGGCTGAGAAATAGACTGTCCTGGGTGTGTATATATATATATATATATATATATATATATATATATATATATATATATATATATATATATATATATATATATATATATATATATATATATATAAACTTCCATATGTTAAGTAGACTAATAAGTTAAACTTTCACTAGGCTACATTAGATGTACAAGTCACTGCATCACCGTTCCATATAAGGACCACCTCCACTAGAGAGACACACACACACATATACACTACACAGAATCTTCCTTGGCAGCTTCTCAAGCACAAACTGTATATATATTTTCTCTGGTGAGTCTGGTCAAGTGAGGAGAGAGCGCACGTACCGGTGGCCACCACGCCGAGGAGGAGGAGGGTCAAAGTGGTCCTCATCTTGCTGGAGTGTCGCGACTTGTGATGGGGCCTCCAGCGCCGCGCTCCTCCTTATATACCCACCCACGGCCGCCCTCCTCGCGCATGCGCGCTTCTTCCCGCCCTTACACACACACACACACACACACACACACACACACACACACACACACACACACACACACACACACACACACACACACACACACAGTTGACAGTTGAGAGGCGGGACCAAAGAGCCAGAGCTCAACCCCCGAAAGCACAACTAGGTGAGTACAACTAGGTGAGTACACACACACACACACACACACACACACACACACACACACACACACACACACACACACACACACACACACACACACACAGATATTGGATCCTTGGATCCCGGGATCCAAGAGTCAATGCTCGATCCTGCAGACACAACTAGGTGAGTACACACACACACCTAAGGGGGCTGGTGGCCGAATGGATAGCACGCTGGTCACGTGATCCTGTGGTCCCGGGTTCGATCCCGGCCGCCGGCGAGAAACAATGGGCAGAGTTTCTTTCACCCTATGCCCCTGTTACCTAGCAGTAAAATAGGTACCTGGGTGTTAGTCAGCTGTCACAGGCTGCTTCCTGGGTGGTGGAGGCCTGGAGGCCTGTCGAAGACCGGGCCGCGGGGACACTAAAGCCCCGAAATCATCTCAAGATAACCTCAAGATACAAAAATATTGAAAACTGTGGCTATTTCAGTCTGTTATGCGATTTCCAAATATCTTATTAACGTAATGATATAATTACATTGATACTTATACTAATAATTATAGAATAATTTTATAATATATAATAATTATCCTACAATAATTAGCAACAGAGAGGACAATTATCAGGGGGAAAAGCATCAAGCCATTACGACTATATAGCACTGGGAAGGAGTCAGGATAAGGATTTGTAATGGGACGGGAGGAAAGGAATGGTGCCCAACCACTTGGACGGTCGGCGGGGATTGAACGCCGACCTGCATGAAGCGAGACCGTCCAGCCCAAGTGGTTAGATCAGTAGCTGAGAGTGAAGTTAGAGCTGCTTTTAGAAATATAAGTCAATCAAGCGAGTGTCTTTGCGAGCGCACTTAATGTGTCTGCCCAACCGACAGTCGGGACAATCGACTTGAGAATGGTCCAAGACGGACCAAAACGTCGTCGTCGTCCCTTCATTTTCTAGTGTGGGGATTGGTCAACATTAACCATGAATGTTTGACGACTCTTAAATGGACTCATGAGGGCGTCCAAAATTCACGAAATGACTACGATACTTCTGGAGATCGTACGATGTCTCGTCTCTTACTGGTGACAATGGGACATACCGTCTGAGGTAAGTTGAAAGAAAATGGGAAATTATTGATCTGCTGCCTGAAGTAAATGGTGAGAGAGAGAGAGAGAGCGGGAGAGAGAGAGAGAGAGAGAGAGAGAGAGAGAGAGAGAGAGAGAGAGAGAGAGAGAGAGAGAGAGAGAGAGAGAGAGAGAGAGACAGAGAGAGAGACAGAGAGAGAGAGACAGAGAGAGCGGGCGGGAGAGAGAGAGAGAGAGAGAGAGAGAGAGAGAGAGAGAGAGAGAGAGAGAGAGAGAGAGAGCGGGAGAGAGAGAGAGGTTGGGAAAGGAGGTGGGTGTCCTTGACGAGTGAGGCTGCATCTCACACACTCCAGGAAAAAGGCTCATCTGCTGACGTCACTCCAGTGACATCTTAATAGCCTCTATTACATCTTAGGTGACTACTACTTCTTCCTGGGTAAATACTTCTTCCTGGGGTAACAGTCAATAGTAACGACAAACACATTAAATGGTGACAAGAAAATATTAAATAACGGTGACAAAATCCTTAAATAGCAGCGACAAAAACACTTGAGTAGTGTTATCAGAAGCTTCACCGTGACAATGGAAGAACAGGAACAACAGTAACAGTACCGTGACCAACAGGCACAACAGTAGCAGAAGCAACAGTGCCAGGACCAACTGGAACAATATCAACGGCGCTAGCACGAACACCAGCAACAGTAGCAGCAGCAGCAAGGCAGGTCCTGTTTACACACAACCAGACCTATCGGCTCAAAGCAAGACCGACCAAACAGTAGCAGCAGCAGCAGAAACAAGTCACAGTAGCAGCTGGAACAGTTGCACCAACAACAGCAGTAATGGGCGGCCGTAGCTGCTGGCCTCGACCTAAGTTGTGATTGCCTGTGGATGGGTATTGGGTCGTGAGACCTGATCATTCTTGCAGGCCCCACTGCTCGTTCGAGAGAACTCCTTGCTGAGAGGATGGAAGCGATCTCCCTGCTGCATTTGTGGGGTCACGCGGTGAATTTTCTCATACTGGGGTCCTTGAGCGAGCGATCTTCTTCCTTTTGGGGTCCTTGAGCGAGCGATCTTCTTCTTTTGGGGTCCTTGAGCGAGCGATCTTCTTCATTCTGGGGTCCTTGAGCGAGCGATCTTCTTCCTTTTGGGGTCCTTGAGCGAGCGATCTTCTTCCTTTTGGGGTCCTTGAGCGAGCGATCTTCTTCCTTTTGGGGTCCTTGAGCGATCTCTCTTCTTCATTCATTCTGGGGTCCTGAGTGATCTCTCTTCTTCATTCTGAGGTCATTGAACTATCTCTTTTCTTCAGTACTAGAGTTCTAAAATTATTCTTTGCCTTAAAGCTTAATTTACATTCTCTTGAAAGGAAAATAATAAGGGATGACATACGTGAAGTAAACGAATGAGTTTTGCTTCTCATTGGTTTTAATTTGAGCCTGGATACTGCCTCCTCACACTTCTGAGTGGCATAATCCATCATGTCTTGTACACACTTAGATGTGTACAAGACTTGGAGTAGATCTTAAGAGTTCTGTTTCCCATGGTATTTCTCTTAGGTACTTTAGGTACTTAGGACTTTTCTCATCTCATAATTCCCCTTTCGGTACGCCAGTGCTTTGTCTTATACTTGATGGGGATGTGCATCTATCTAGTGATCTAGTTCTTGGGACCCGCCTCTCGTGGCTGGTCTTGAAGCAAGTAGGTGAATAGCTACTTCTACTTGCCTATTGCCCTCCTTGAATGAACAGTGTTTAAAAATCCTTCTTACGTGTGTTTTCTTCCTATGTCTACCGTCCAACCACTTGGGTTGGACGGTAGAGCGACGGTCTCAATTCATGCAGGTCAGCGTTCAATCCCCGACTGTCCAAGTGGTTGGGCACCATTCCTTTCCCCCGTCCCATCCCTAATCCTTATCCTGACCCCTTCTTAGTGCTATACAGTCGTAAGGGCTTGGCACTTACCCTTGATAGTTCCCTTCCCTTCCTATGTCTAATCGTTCTATTTTTTCCTCGTCATGTGAAAACCACCTCGTTTATTTCTCCTTGGTATCGTATATGTCGTGATCATATCTCTTGGAGTCCTTCTCTCCTCTGTATCGCTGGATTCTGATCCCTTAACCTCTCCTCACAGTTCAGCTCTCTTACCTCTGGGACAAGTCTTGTAGCAAATCCTAATATTGTCTTAATATTTGATCATGGGGGCATCACAAGATTAGGATTCCACGTAGTCTGCACATTCAAGAACTAGTCTGACGTAGGTTGTGTTACTGGTGTGAATGATTCCTTACCTGAAATTGTAAATACCGACTTTGTTTACAAGTTTTGTACATGTGGTTGGTCGTATTATTCTGTATAATAACTAATTAATTTAATAATAATAATAAGGATAATAAGGATAATAATAATAATAATAATATAATGATAATAAGGATAATAATTGTTCAGTAATGTGGATAACATTGGATTATATCCCCAGCATGAGGGGGGTGGGGGGAGGGGGGGTCAGCAGAAGGGGGGGTGGGGGGAAAGTGAGGATCAGCAGTGAGAGTATGAGGCAGAATCACATTCCTGGGGAGAAAGTATCCTCGTGACCTTTCCCTCCCGTGACCTTTCATCTTCGCGGCCCCTTTTCCCTGGCCTTTCCTCTCTCCCCTTCCCCCCTTCGGTCACCTCAGGTCTCGTTGGTATGAGCACACACACACACACACACACACACACACACACACACACACACACACACACACACACACACACACACACACATACTGGCGGTTGAGAGGCGGGACCAAAGAGCCAGAGCTCAACCCCCGCAAGCACAACTAGGTGAGTACAACTAGGTGAGTACACACACACACACACACACACACACACACACACACACACACACACACACACACACACACACACACACACACACACACACACATTGTTTTCTGATATATGTCAACGACTTGGCAGAGGAAATTGGCTCCTTCATATCAGTGTTTGCTGATGATGTAAAACTGACGATAAGAGTCAAGACAGAGATAGATTGTGAGGCATTGCGAGAGTATTTGGAGACACACTCCAGAAGTGGTCTGAAAATTTGGTTGCTAGAGTTTAACCCACTGAAATGCAAAGTTATGGGGCTTGGAGCAGGAGTGCGAAGGTCAGTGGAGCAGTATAGGATGAAGGGAAGACAGATTCTTCAATCAGAAAAGGAGAAAAACCTGGGAAGAGAAGGGATCTATCAGGAGAAAGAGCCAAGCCATTCAGACCATATAGCACTGGGAAGGGATCAGGATAAGGATTTGGGATGGGACGGGGGGAAAGGATTGGTGCCCAACCACTTGGACGGCCGGGGTTGAACGCCGACTTGCACGAAGCGAGACCATCGCTCTACCGTCCAGTGCAAGTGGTTAGATAAGAAATGTCTTAGGAGTGGACATAATCCCAAATCTGACGCCAGAAGCCCTCATTAGCAGCATAATAACAGCTACACACAGAAATCACAATAGCGTGATGCATCAAATGAACAAATCCACAAGGGCCGTGACGAGGATTCGAATTCTTTCAACCATGTCTTAGCTCAGTCGATTAAGGCAGCGTCTGGGATCCTCTCGGACGTAGATTCGAGCCCTCGTCACGGCCCTTGTGGATTTGTTCATTTAATAACAGCTGCATATGGCATACTGGCAAACATCCGTGTATCCTTCAATAACTTGCAGAAAGGAG